TGACGGAAGACAACGGGAAAGGAGAGAGGCGGGGCATCTGTTAACACCCCAGTGTCCCTGAATCGCTCAGGCCAGCAGGTCACATCCCCTGGCGGCCCTGCCAGGCCTGAGATAGCACCTGGGGCTGACTCTGGGCCTCACTAAGCTACAGCTCTTCACAGGCTCGCAAAACAGCCCGCAAGCCAGCTCCAGCCTCATGTCCTTGCCAAATTCAAGCCATCGTGCTCCGCCATCTTGGCGGGCGACCTTGTGCCTCGGGGCACAGGTCTCCAGCACGTGCTTGGCTCTTGGTTCCTGTGGCTTCTCTTTGGGGCTGTGCTCTCTATTCTGACCCCCAAACCCCGATTTATGCCTTGTCAGTTCTTGGGGAGAGGGAGGCCAAGACCTGGTGACCTTCAGCGTCAAAGTCCACTGCGCGCGGCCCAGCCGAGGCGCCCGAGGAAGCGCCTCGGGCTGAGGCCGCGCCGCTCACGTCGCTCACATCACTCACGTCGCTCATGGAGGCCTGCCGCAAAGCACAGCCGCTGACCTCTCGCTTTGCGACTTTTGTCGTAAAAGCGGCTTTTGTCGTAAAAGTGTGAAGCCTCTCAGCAGTTCTTCAGTGAGGGAAAAACAGATACAGTTGTTGCTCTTTCATGCACGCAGTGATGTAACATGAACTTGTGAGAAGGTTCCCTTCTCGCCACACCTTTGTGAGCTCCTGATGTCTTGGCTTTTGATAATAACCGTTTCAACAAATATGAGGTGAGAGATTTTTGTGGTTGTGTTTTGCATTTCCCCAGAGGTGAATGATGTTGAGTATATTTTCGTGTGCCTGTTGGCCTCTTTGATGTTTTTTTTTTTTGGGGGGGGAGGAGGGGAGGAATATCTAGTTATTTTGGCCCAGTTTTTATTTTAAAAAATGTTAAATTTATTAATTGAGGTGATATTAGGATACCCCAATCAGTATGGCCACCGCACCTCTCCCACCACCAAATCACCCATACTTCTCCAGCACAGACCATTGTGCCTCCTTTCCTCATTGTTTTTACCCCTTCACCCCCCACTACTTCCCCCAAATTCTTCAGTGCCATAGTCAGCTCTCAAGGGTTGATTTAAAAAAAAAATGATTTGTTTATTTATGCATACAAGAACTGGGGTACAGGTCAGAGGTGTGGGGGGTGAGAGGATTCACCAGAGACAGAGTAGGGAGCAGAACAGGCAGACTGACTGAAATACTGCTGAGGGGAGCAGTGGGTGAGACAGGAGAGGTCTGCTGTTCCATGTGGGTAGCTCCCTGACCAGGGATCAAACTCGTGCTGCAGTGGCTGCAGATAGCTTCATAGGCTGCACCTTAACCCCTTGCAGCACTAGGAAGGTCCTCAAGGGTTGATATTTAAACTTATTTTTATCCGACCCTTACTTTGGTTTCTCTGTATTTGTTGTTATGTTACTGTATGAGTCCTTATGTATTTTGGATATTAATCCCCTATTCAGTATATAGTTTGCATTTTTTTCCCTTTATGTTTTCATTCTGTCATTTGTTTCTTTTGTTGGGCAGAAGCTTTTGAGTTTGATGTAATCTCACTTGATAATTTGTGCTTTTGTTTTTTGATGACTTTAGTGTCACATCCTAAAAAATTATCACCCATGTCGAGGAGGTTCTTCATTATGTTTTCTTCAAGTTTTATCATATCAGGTTTGATTCATTTGCATTTCAGATTTTATGCATGGCATTAGGTGTATGAATCCAGTTTTATCATTGTGTTTGTGTCTTTCCAATTTTCCCAGTACCATTTATGAAAAGAAAATCCTTTATTCATTGGCTATTCTTGGAACTCTTGTTGAATATTAATTTACTGTATATGCTGGACTTCAATTTTGCATTTTATTCTGCTTCATTGGTCTACATGTCTTTTGTGTGTGTGTGTGTGTGTGTGTGTGTGTGTGTGTGTGTGTGCTGGCAACATACTTCCACAATTATTGTGAGATTCATCTGTATGTTTTATTCAGTTCATTTTACTTTTATTGATGAGTATTCTATTGTACAGATATGCCATAATTGGTCTATTCACTGTTAATAGAATTTAAAGATTTATTTTGTTTATTTATGCTGCACCAGGGTGTAGGCCAGAAGTGTGAGGGGTAAGAGGATTCACCAGAGAGTGGGGAGCAGAACAGGTGGATTGACTGAAATACACTGCTGAGGGGAACAGCGGGCAAGTCAGGAGAGGTCTGCTGTGCCATGTGGGTAGCTCCCTGGCCAGGTATTGAGCTCAGATTTAACACCTTGCACTACTAGGGAGGCCCTGTTTCAATTTTTTAAAACATAAAGCTTCTTTAAACTATTTGTAGATTAGAAATCAGAAATTTTCTAATTTCCTAGGTGACATAAATGATTAGTGCTTCACAGCTCTGATTTTCCAAAGGCCATATATTAGAAAGAAATCAGTTGACAAAAAATTCTCTCTTTCTTTGTAGAATTTTGTAGAGTTGACTCTTTGCTTTCTTTTCCTTTAAAACTTAGAACAGAAAGATCCTAAAGAACACAGAACCCCAGCACAAGGACACTCCTGTGACCAATAAGTATATATGGTTACCTGAGTGGCCAAGTTAATTATATATGAAATGACAGAGAGTGAACTAAGGTGGATACAGGGCAGGTCAGACCAAGGAAAGCTGGGAATCCTCGCTGACCCTGGGGTGAAGGCCAGAAATGCAACCCTAGGAATAAGGTCAGGCATTTGTCATTTACGAGGTAGCCACTTAATGCCATGACTAGGGAAGCAGGATTGAAATTAAAAGTCCATTTCATAAGGAAAAAACACTTGTGATTAGTAGTTTCAATCACTGGTGAAACTATATGGTCAATTAATATTTTAGTTATTTGAAAGCTTGACTATAAGGCCATCACAAGGGAAAAGGGCAGAATCAGGAAATAAAGGAATAGCAAATCAGTGAAGTACCAAGTGGAAAAAAAAAAAGAGGAGAAAAGAGCAGTGGAATTATAATCCAAAGGCATGCCTTGTAACTAGCTCTAAGACTAGAAAGACATTTTCATTTTCTGAACCAGTTTATTAGTCTATAAAATTATTGGTTAAATTTAGTCATCATTCATTGAATATCTATACCTCTAGAATCCCTTCCAGATTGAAACACTTAGGAATTCAAAACTATCTTAGAAATGAAATCACAAGTTGTTCTGGTGTGACTGAGCAAGGGGTGAGAACAAATTTACAATTTCAAATGTAGTGTTTTTATAGGAGAAACAAATCAACCAGCTTATCACAGGGTGTTCCTAATTCCAAATGGCTGCTCTCTCCCACACTGTGACATAGCTGTGATGAAACTTTTTTTATTGCCCCTACAAGCTGTACTGATTCAACTCAGGCCAAAGCTTCTTAAATTCCATCAAACACTTTTATCATATCCAGAATATAAGGGGAAAAAATTAGGCCAATTTTTCATTGTGGATTTTTAAACCTGTCACCAGTGTTGAAGCTGGATGTAGGCAGGCCATTCCACCTTAAAATCTTAAAAAGAACAAAGGAGAAAGGGTCCACTCGTCTTTGTCCAGCTGCAACAACTTAAAATGCTTCCAAAACTCATGTAGCATCTCAGCAGGATCATGCAAGTGTTTAGTTAAGCATTTTGTCAGTAAAGGGATTCAAGTACCTTTTACTTTCTTGTGGCCCCAAACTGTAGATCCAAAACAAAATATTGGTGTGGTTTTACTTTTGTAAGCTTGAGCAAAGTGGCAGTTATATCAAACCTAGGGTTGGCTTGATGGCCTATTTTGGGGGGGTTGGTGGACACAAAGCAACGTGGTGAGAAAGCAATCAATTTGTTCCGATTTTTATGGCCAGGTAGAAAGGTCAAGTTCCAGGCCTCAGTTAGAGTTCCTTTCTTAGCTGTTTTTTTTTTTTTTCACAGCACGGTGAGCTAGGCTGGTTACTTAGAGGCACAGCCATCCCTGTTTGGGGTTGGGATCAGCCATCCTACTTCACAGACAATGAATGCAGACAATAGTTGAAGGAATGCACAGGAGTCTAGCAAGCCCAGCTTCAGCTCCCCATACTTTTCAGTTAAAGTCCTCTCCTCCCTGTTTTACAGGTTGCCAGGCTGCCTGGGGTGTCCATACGACTCCATCATCAAATTGACCTTACAACGTGCTTTAATCACCTTTCAAGTATATTCTCCTGGTCCGGGATCCTGCGCTTTCTCGAACAGTCCCTGAAGCACCTAGACTCTCCCACTCCACTAATATGAATGAAGAGCTGAACCTGCAACCTGTTGAATGAAAGAATGAATGAACCCTCAGCACGCACTCCCTCCTCCCCTGCTCCACGCTGCGAACGTGGCTCCGACTTAGCAACCACGTTAAAATCTGGGTCCCTGGGAGAGACAAAGCAAAACAAAAACAGAACAGGAAAGGGGTAAACGAGAGAAAAGGGAGGGCCCCCAGGCGGCCAATGCGCCGGCCCGCAGCCCGGCTGAGGCTGCCCGCCGCCGCAGGCCCCGCCCCCTCCGCCGCAGGCCCCGCCTCTCCGCCGCAGGCCCCGCCCCGCCCCGCCGCCCTGGGCGCCTGTGCGCGTGCGCCGCGGGAGCGCGCAGCTGCTCCGAGCGCCGGCGGCGGGGGCGCGCGGCCGGGAGAGGGCTTGACGTGGCAGTTCCCAGCCCAGCTGCGCTGCGGAGCGCGAGGCCAGCCCGCGGGGACGCGGGGCCCGGGGACAGGCGCGGCGGGAGCGGCAGCCGCAGCGGAGCTCGGTTACCGGGGGCAACGGCGCTTGGAGCCCGGCGCAGGCTCTCGCAAGCCCCCGGCGTGAGGAAGCCCACCAGGTACAGCCTCGGCCGCCTCGGCTCGCTCGGGCGGGACAGCCCCTCCCGGCGCCGCGCGAGTGGGGTGCGGTGCCCGGCCGGGATGGGGGGCTGGCAGGAGGCGGGGTGCTCACCTGGGGCCGGGCGGCAGGGGACACCTCCTCCTCTGCTGCCCGCACCCCTCGCTGCGGTGTAGTAATGGGGTCCGGAGGGGAGGCGTGGGCAGTGGTTACCCGCCCCCCATCTTTGGGACTTGGGATGCAGGCACTGCCCGCTTGGGGTACCCCAGGGGAGCAGCCTGGGTTGTTCTCGTCTCCTTATCAACTTAATTTCCTCTTTGCCCGAGGAAGGGGATGTTAGAAATAATCGTGGTTAAAAATGGCAACTGTAGCTCAACGCTTCGGGGCATCCTTCTAGGGAGCCCGGAGACGGGTTTGTGCAAACCCCAACTTGGTGTCCAGGGTGGTCAGTGCACCTGGGCGGGAGCTGTCGGGTTGACAGTGGGCGAGTGGGTTCTGCCGGGGTTGGGGCTCCCCAGATTCTGATCCTAGGCCTGCTCGTGCCAAGTGGCTTTCTGCCATGTCGCCGCTTGAAGCTGAGTCAGGTTTCTGCAACTTGGTGCTCAGTGTGAGGAAGTTTGACGTGGCAAACTGGGTTGTTTGAGGAAGCAGATTCCTCCCAGGACCAACGAAGAGGACCCGACTGCTTCCTGCTCTGTGGTGTGAACATCCCTGCCTTTCCTTTCTGTCACTCAGCAACAGGCTGCTACGTAGGTGTGTTCCTGCTGACTTCCTAAGTGTGCTTGGTTGGATGAGCTTGACCAAAGCTCAGGCTGCCACGTCTCTCTCTCTGCTAAGTGGGAGGAGGGAAAGAATATTGTCAAAAACAAAGCTCACCAGCAGGCCTTTGCCTGGCTCTCTTCATTTTAGTTCCCGCCTCCCAAGGAGAAGAAAGTGCTCTTATGGTATTTTTACTCAGTGGCTTTAATTTTGGGAAGTTATGGCTTAATATAAAAACCAAACCAAGAGAGTGTCATTTCCTAAATACAGGTTCATTTCAGGTCTTAATAGGTATCACTGATCTTTTACCTTAAAAGGTAGCATTATCAAATAAAATGAATATTTCTATGCTGGGTGAAGAAACGGGCATTTGGAGGCTTTATTTGTTTGGTAAGAGGGAACAGAAGCCCAAAGAGGTTTTCCAGTTTATTGCAGGTCACACAAATAAGTATTGGAAATTTTGAAGTGAAAACCCACTTCTCTGGCCATCATTGGGAGTTTTTTCTGTCTTGTTATTAAATGTTTCAATAATAGTACTATGTGGACTGTCTGGAAAAAATGGAAAAGTTAAAGTACATTGATGTTTGTATTCCAGATAGAGGGTCAAGATAGTTGTTTCATTTGTGTCTATGTGTGACTAAACAGATTTGAAACTGTACTTTTTCCTTAATTACCTAAATATATGTGCATATGTTCTTACAGATGTGGTATTTCAATCTAAATAACTGTCATCTTCAACTGAGACCACTGACAGCTCCCCCAGTGTTTGCAGGCTACTGTTTAGCTTGGTCCGTTTACATTGAGCCCTAAAATGAATCCATCATCAACTTCTTTATCTTCTGGCCTATCTGTTGGACTATTGATTTTTCTTTCTCCCAACTGCCTGATTAAAATGACTAATTAGGATGCCACTAAAATGACACAGGTCATAAAATACCTGATTGCAGACCACTAGCAGTTCTGCTGGCCAGTCCATAGAATGCTGTGCAATGATTGGCAGTGGTGTGCTGTGTGCTGAATTGGAGCCATGGAAACCAAAGGCACAAAAATAGTAGATCCACTCTGAGAGACTGTATGTGAAATAGGTCATTCATCCATTAACTAAGTGGCTAGCAATTGTTCAGATTTTGTCTGAGAATTTGCCCAGGACTATAGAATTGAGTTACTGAGTTTTGTAGAGTTATGGCCGGAATCTTTTTAGGGGATCGTGATATGATATATTGTATAATATGAAGCTGTCTCATGCATCTAATAATTGTACCTTTCCTTAAATCATCATAAACATTTATTAACATTGTTTATATTTTTAGTAGCATTAAGTAGCTCTTGTTCTCTTGTTGACCTTTTTTTCCTTCTGTTACAGGGTTCTTTTGTGGCTCTATCCCTTGGAATGATATTTTCAAAATGAGTCAACAAGGTTATGTGGCTACACCCCCTTATTCTCAGTCCCAGCCTGGAATAGGCCTTGCTCCTCCACATTATGGGCACTATGGGGACCCAGCCCATGCAGCCTCTCCACCAGGTAAAGCGCATTACTTTGATATATAATGATCAACTTACACTCTGAGATATAAGATGTTCTGAAAGAGCAGCATTGGGAATGTTAAGTGGTCATTATATGATGCAATGCCTTGAGATTATAGGATCCTTTGGAAAAGGCTCTCAATCATCAGTTTGGTGGTTGTGTGAAATATAAGTTTGGTTTTTAAATATAGATTGAAACAAACAAGTTTCCTGAGTGTTTATTTTCACTGTAAGATTTGTTCTTGTTACTAATCAGTGGTGTAAGGTTATTGGAAATATTCAACTAAAAACAAATTTTACATATATATCTACTATTCATCCTATATATATATATATATATAACATATACTATTATATATGCCATTAATCATGTACACTCACACACAGTAAATTGGTTTTGGAAATGATAATCATTGTATTACTCAAGAATAATCAAAAAAAAAAAAAAAACCAAAACATGGTCTTAACTTGAATTCATTATTGAACATTATTAGTTTCTTTAAACTACCATACCAGGCAGATATGGGGGGTGGAAATGAGGAGGTTGCTTTGATGGCAGTTGACACTATGAAGCTGCCTCCCTTAATTGAGGGGCTGCTCTGAGCAACTATTTTTCACCCCTAAGTCTGGGGTGATGCTAGTAATAGCTTGTTTTAGGTGGATGTCTGAAATCCTCTGAAAATTTTTGTATAAGACAGTTCTTGGAGCCTCCCTGGTGGCGCAGCGGGTTGAGCACAGCGCTGTGGAGCTGTTCGCAGCCTCTACAGCGCCAGTTCGATTCCCTGCCAGCCAGGGAGATTCCCACATGGCTAGGCAGACCTCCCCTGTCTAGTCCGCTGCTCCCCTCAGGAGCATAAGACAGTTCTTGGGGCTTCTGAGAGAATGCTGAGGAATTCAACACAAATTCTTGGTGGAAATGAGTTGTGTACAAATTAGTGTCTTTGGGGTTTGCTAGGACTGACTCAGATAGGTAGGGTCCAGGCTGTGCTCCCAGCGTGTGTGCAGTGTGTTAGTGAGGAGAGCGCTGTAGGGGGGCTGGATGGTGGCATCCTCATGTTTCCTGAAAACGTGCACTAAGGCTATGCGTTTCTTGTGGTTACTTGCCTTTTTGATTTCTCCTACACCTAATTTTTAAAAACCTCCCCTCAAGGCATTTTCCTCTTGTCTAAAGCCAATACTCCCCCATTTGTAGTCTTGCCTTTCTAAATTCTGTGTGAACAATCTCCAGTTTCTCTCTTTCTGGCAATTCATTCCCTCTCAGCACTTATGTATTACAGTAAATATAAATTACTCAGAAACTAGTCCTAAAAACTTCACATGTACTGTTGAATTCTCTTATTAGTCCTGTTTTGCAGTTAAAAAAAAAACCCGTAATGTTGTATACTATGACTTGTTCAATGTCTCAGAGCTGGTGATGTAGCCAGGATTCATATACCCAGAACCCTAAAGAAAAGCAACAGCAAGTTCCAGTTTACACCCAGGGATAACCCTCAGCATTATTTACCCTTCCTTTCTCTCTTCACAGCCGTGTTCTTTTTTTTTTTCTTTTTTTTTTAAGATTTATTTATTTATTTATACAAGCATTGGGCACAGTCAGAGGCACGGGAGGGTGAGAGAATTCACCAGAGCCAGAGCGGGGAGCAAAGCAGGCAGAAGGACCGAAGTACACTGCTGAGGGGAGCAGCGGGCAGCAGGAGAGGGGAGCAGCTGGGGATCCAGCTGGTGCTGCGGAGGCTGCGGGCAGCTTCGCAACCCAGCGCTCAACCACTGCGCCACCGGGGAGGCCCCACAGCCGTGTTCTTAAACAAAAGGACCCACTTCACTCAGTGGCTCCCCATCCTTGCCTCGCAGACCCTCCCTTGCCCAGTGTAGTCTCCCTCCATGGTGCGGGACCATCACCCACTCCTTTATCCTGTCAGGGTCTTTGGTGGCCTCCCATCAGCAAATGCAGCTGGACGCTGTCCTTGCACTGCTCTTCTTTTCACAAAACTCACTTCTTTGAAGTCAGTAACACTCTCCTTTTGTAGCCTCCTGGGTTGCTTTCTGGTTATCTCTTGCTAACTAACTTTCCTTTCTCCATGACCCTCAAGGGTAGCTGCTTCTCTTTCTTTTTTCTACTGTACTTCTTTTCTCCACTCACTCTATAGATGTCCCCCAAGGCTGCATGATTGCCCATGAAGCGCTAGTGTCCCAGATCTGTTTCTCCACCCAGGTGTATCCCCTGAGTTCCAGACCCTTATTTTCAGCTGCCCACCTGTTCACATAGGCACATTGCACTCATCACGTCCACGACTCTTTGTCTTTCCCATACATCCTATTTTTTCCTGATACTACAAATCTCACTCAGCAACATCATTCATTCAGTTTTTCATGTTAGACATGTTTTCTGTTAAAAAAAAAAAGCTCTCCTTTTAACTTTTCTTACTCAGCTGGTCTCCCAATCCTTTTGGGATGACTGTAAACATCTCTCCTACCTGCTTCCTCCTTTTTTGTCCTCCTCTCACTCTTGTTCAAGCTCTGCAACTCACTTAGATTACTAAAATGGTCTCTTATCATTATCCTTCTCTGCCATCATGCTTTTCTTCATCCAGTTCTGTGCTGGGTGAAGGGATTTTTAGGGTTTGCAGATCTCATCCTGACTTCCTTGTACTTAGAATGCTTTATAGTTTCCCATTGCCCCTGATTATGTTTTAAGCTCTGTAGACCTTCATTAGTTTACCCATCTTCTTTTTGTCTTTTTTGGTTCGTTCCTCGGTCACTTTCCCATACCCATTCCTCAACTAATTGAGGCTTCACAATTAGTCATTTGGGGACCAGTTTGCCCTTACATCCTGATTTGCACCTCTTATCCCAGAAAGCCATTCTCTGCTTCCACTTTATCAATTCGAACCCAGCTCAAGGGTGCTGCTTGCAGGTGTTTCTGATCCCTCTTCCTCCTCGCGCTCTCGCACCTGTGCAGGCCTCTTGCCATTTGTCACGTTGTTAGACTGACTTGCCCGGAGCAGCGAGGCCCCCATTAAATTCCTATTCACTGAGCGAGTGAATGACAAGCTGCTGTATTCATCAGCAAACACTATGGTGTGTTCCAATATATATATTTTAAAAGCCCTGTCTTTGTTGGATTCAATTCATCATGCTTTAATTCAAACCTCTCTTTCCTGCAGTTCTCAGATGGATACCAGCAGGTTGACTCTTTGAAATATACCTTTCTGTAAGTGATGATGTTTTGTTTAATTATTTAAGTCTGCACTGGATAAAGTTGAATCCCTTAATCATCAAATGACTTTTCTAGTCTTTTTGCTGCTTTTCTGATAGACGCAGGCAACTTACTTCTGATTCCTTCAAGTGTCTATCCTGTCACAGATCTGGCCACTGCTAGCCCTTCTACTTCTCACACCCCGTATCTCCATCTGTGCCTGTGAAATACCAGTGCTCTGTAGTAGCATGTTTAACAGATTTATTGAGTGAGTACTTGTGGTGACAGAATAAAGTGGTGACTAAAATAAAGCTAGTTGTAGACATGATTGTGTCTACCATTCTAGGGGGGTGGTGCATTAAGTGGCAGGGATGATACAGGGGACACACTACTGTACAGAAGGTGGGGGGAAGATGGAGACCCTAACCAGGAAGAGAGGGAAAGAATGACCTGAAAGATGAATGACACCTGGCCTGGTATGGAGGCTTCTTGCCTGCGGGACTGGGGAAGGTGCTCGAGTAGGTGGCACAAGAGATTCTGCATGGCTTCAGGCAAGTGTTTGAGCAGCAAGAGCTGTGCCTGGCATGGCAGGCGGGCTGTTGACACTTGATTTAGAGGACTGGATTCTAAGGGCAGATGGGTGCTACTGAAGTGTTGCAAGCTGGGAAGTGTCGTCCTCCCATGTGCATTTTATTTTTTTTAAAGATTTATTTATTCGTGCATACAAAACTTGGGTACAGGCCAAAGGTGTGGCGGGTGAAAGGATTCACCAGAGACAGAGTGGGGAGCAGAACAGGCAGCTTGACTGAAGTACACCACTGAGGGGAGCAGCAGGCAAGTCAGGAGAGGTCTGCTGCATCATGTGGGTAGCTCCCTGACTGGGGATCGAACTTGTGCTGCAGAGGCTGCGAACAGCTTCATAGGTTGCATCTTAACCCCTTGCACCACCAGGGAGGTCCCCCATGTGCATTTTAGAGGTATGCTCCACGTCAGAAACTGAGTCACACTTGTGCTCATTGGAAAGGGGCAGCCCCCTGGTTCGCTGGAGCAGGGTTTCCTCCCCAGCTTTTTGGGCTTTGGGGGGCCACATCTTCTATTTTGTGGCAGGCTGGGCTGCAATTATAGGACACTTAGCTGCATCATGGACCTCTACTTAGTAGATACCAGTCCTCCCATCCCACTACCCTGTCTCCACCCTGCCCTCAAGCTGTAACAACCAGAAAAGCCATAGATATCACCAACTGTCCCTTCAGAGGTCAGGTCACCCCTGGTTGAGGACCACCAGTCTGAAAGCTCAGAGACAGGAAGCGGTGATGCCTTGGAACCAGGGTAGGGGCTGTGGGGTGGGTGAGGCCCCTAGTAAATGGTGAGCTTGTGTAGCTCCTCCACCTGCCACAGAGCCCACAGGAGGAGAGCCATGACAGTTCGGCTCAGAGGCTCCCAATAGGGAACTTACCTTTGTTTATTTTAAATAAATATTTACTTCACACATGTTTTTTTTTTTTTTAATTTTTGTTTCAGTCACTCAGATCCAGGGTCAAATTCAAGGTTTACTTTCCTGTGATGTATTTGTCAGGCTTTTGTTGATGATAACAGACACCACTCTAACATAAAGGAGCCTCTTAAAGGGTCCTTGGGAAGGTCAGAATGTTCAAGAGAGTAGGAGAGCCAGAGTTGGGTGTGTGAGGGCCCTCACTATGCACACCCCACATATGACTGTGCTGCTAGCAGCCACTGCCTGTCACCCCAGAACCACCCTTTCTTGACCCCATGCTGGTTGGGGTCTCCTGAAGGTTTGTTGCTTTGCTGAATTTAGAGCACATGGGAACTTAATTTGTAAGGGACTCCAGGATGGACACTTCATCTCTCTATCTCAGGAAAAGGCAAGCTAGAAAGAAATTGAAGTTGGTACTGAGTAAGCTGGTCTGTGTATTAAAGACCAGTTTGTGATTTTCAATATTTTCCTTCAGGCATGAGTGTGGCATGCCTCTCCTTTCTTGTTCAGATTCTCATACTACTATATGAAGAACCCACTTTATCTGTGATCACTTTTGAACATGACAGCACTGTGCTGAGGGGGAGACTGTGACTCTGCAGGTAATCATGATACCGACTCCCCTTTGCCCCCAGGATAGGGTCCAAGTGGCACACCGGACTTTGTAGTCTGATTCCAACCAACCTGGACAACCTCTGCTCTGGCCAATTCCCAGTCTCTCCACTCTGAACCTTTTGCCAGCCCCTCGTTACACAGAACCCTCTCTCTGCTTGCCCTTCAAGATTCAGCCCAAGCCATATTTCCTCTTCCCCCAGAAGAGTTAGTTTGTCCTTTTGCATATTATCACACTCATCATAAGGCACAATAATTGTTTGTTTATGTGGTCGTCACTTCCATAAGATTTCCTGGTGCCTCTACGGCCCTCAGTGTAAGTTTGAATCATTGCTGTAGACTTCATTTCTAAATATGAAAGGAAAAGAACATTTTTGTGTGTAATTTATGTGTATGTATTTAGTGTATAATAGCTCTGCTTGTCTATATGATAGATTTTTTTTTAAGATTTATTTATTCATGCATACAAGAACTGGGGTACAGTCCAGATGCATGGGAGGGTGAGAGGATTCACCAGAGACAGAGCGGGGAACAGAACAGGCAGACTGACGAAATACACTGCTGAGGGGAGCAGTGGACGAGACAGGAGAGGTCTGCCTTTCCATGTGGGTTGCTCCGAGGCCAGCAGGGATTGAATCCACATTGAAGAGGCTGCAGACAGCGTCACAGCACTGTGTTCAACCGCCTGCGCCACCAGGGGAGGCCCCTATCTGTTGTTTTTTTTATTCCCTGGTCAGGTATAGATTAGGGGTGCTGATAAAAATTGCTTTTTATCTACTTACTGGAGAAATGAGAGTATCTTTAGCTGATTGTAGTGCATGCAATTATTTACTATTTTAGAGTTAGTGCTGTGAATTTTCTACTTTTGTCCAAAATAATTTAAAAAATTAAAATACAAGTGTGCATGTAATCATGGTGTACATATTTCGTCAGAATAGAAATTCTTGAGATAAGAGAGACAGGGGATTTGATCAGAGGAAGGGAAACTAAGATTTGAGGAGTGATTACCTTCATGTATCAGGCATTGTTCTGGATAATCTCATAGCCACTGCATCACTTAGTTCTAGAACAGGCCTCAGTGATAGAGGACATTAATGCCATGGCAGGATTAAAAGTTGAATTTCTGAAAAAGTGTCTTGTCAGACCACACCTGTTTAATGGCAGGGAAGGAATTCAAACCAAGTCATTGTGACCACAAGTCTCATGTTATTCTAACCCTACTGGGCTTGGGGTTTACAACTTTCTATAAAAATGTTATAAGAATAATATTGTTTTTGTTCTCAGTATATGAAAATTGCTGAGTAGCATTGTGACTGTAAAGTTAATGTAAAAAAAAAAATCTTAAGGTTAAGAAATTCCTTTGAATAGAAGGAATAGAAGAACAGAAGAAAGCTTTGTAACAGTCTCAACAATAATATTCATGAGAACTACCATTTTGCTGGTTTCATTTCATCCTAGATTACCCAAGCATCTGAAAGCATGTTCTCTAAAGTGTTAGGTTGACATTATAAGAACCCGCCATGGGCAACTGCGAGGTCATCCAGGTAGTTCCCTTTTGAGCTGAGGGAGTAAATGCTCCAGAGGAAGAAAGAAAAAGAAAGGAGATGTTTAGTAGGAAACTCCATCATGAGGTTGGGCAGAGGAGAACATAGGGGCAGCTGGGAGATCACTGAAGCTGTGCCAAGAGGAGGGAGGGTCAAAAGGAAATGGAAGGAACAGAACAAGAACCAGCAGGATTCAAGTGGAGAGAGCAAATAGCAGAAATGTTTTGTTTATTTAAAAGTTTCTGTAATTTGGGGCCTCCCTGGTGGCGCAGGCAGTTGAGCGCAGGGCTGTGAAGCTGTCCACAGCTTCTGCAGCGCCGGTTCAATCCCCGCCAGCCACAGAACAACCCACATGGCGCGGCAGACCTCTCCTGTCTCGCCCGCTGCTCCCCTCAGCAGTGTATTTCAGTCAGTCTGCCTGTTCTGCTCCCCACTCTGTCTCTGGTGAATCCTCTCACCCTCCCGCGCATCTGGCCTATACCCCAGTTCTTGTATAAAAATAAATAAATCTTAAAAAAAAAGTTTCTGTAATTTAAAACTCATACTGGTCATCTAGTCTGAGCCTTTCCTTTGCCAGTGAAGGGAAACTGAGGCCTTCAAAGATTACACCCCCTGCCCTGGACCATACATCTGCTAGTAGGCTGCCAGGTGGGGCCGTGAACTTTTCTAACCTGAGCTCAATGTTTTCTCTTAGAAGAAAAGAGAAAAGGGATGTGAATAGTTCTCAAGAGAAACATTAAAGTCTGTTGGAGAAGGCTGCTTGCAGACGAAAAGTCACTGCAGGAGCATCCAGTGATCACATGATGCATTTTGTGTCTGAGCGAGTCTTCGGACACAGCAATGCTGCCCTTCATGTGTTTATCACCCAAGATTTGGAATCCTGGAGAGATGGTTAGCTTTGAAGTCTGGCTCTAGATGAGTTAGAAAAATTGATGCTACTCTCCATTTGCTTTCTTCATGGTGTAATGCAAGGCATAGTCAGAGGGTTTTTTGTTTTTCTGTGTTTTTTTTTTTGAGGATGTTCTACCAAGCCTCATACTGTTTGGGTTCACCGCCCCCCTCCCCATTTATTTGCTGATGTCCAACTGGCATTTTTCGCTGTGTATTCTAGCTTCTTTGGTGTGACTGTATGTTTGATCAAAGTGCCTCTACCATATGCAAAGTTTACTTCTTCTACTTTAATTTCTATTTAGTCTTAAATTGACTCCTATCTTTTCTGTTATCAGCTATGATGTCCAAATAGCTGTGCTGGGGCCTGGCACTGATAGCTCTCTGATGGTGGAAGCAAGTTTAAAGAAGAAGCTGTCTTAACCCATTCCTGTTCTTCCCCTACTTCCCTTCCCAGTTTGAATTTTTAACAGATTGTTGTTGCCTCCTCTCTCTTTGTACTTTTTGACTCTTCTAAATGCCTGCCCTTCTGTTGCAGGTATGATGAAGACAGCAGGGCCTGTGGGGCCTGCTGCCCCAGGGGGCATGTTGCCTCCGGGCCCTCCACCTCCTGGGCCTCATCAGTTTGGCCAGAATGGAGCTCATGCCTCAGGTCATCCTCCCCAAAGGTGAGCTACCTGCATCCCAGCTCTCATGTGCATCACCAGTTGTCTGAGTGCATTCTAAGCTGGCATGTGTATTGCTTGCAAATTTGACCTCTTGATATTGTCCACATCCTTAGAAGGATGTACTAGAAAACTGCCCTAAGAAACAAAGCATTTAGAAAAACTTGGAGAAAAAAATAGAACATAATAACATATTCTAAAATCTATCAAAAATTACTTGTGTCAATACCACACATTTTAGTTTGGGGTTATAGTCATCGTAATTTGAAGGTAAGTATTGATGTCTGATCCCTTCAGATGCCTATCACCTGTTTACTGAATAAAGTTTTAAATCACCTCTTCTCTTGACTCTTTCACAGAACAGACTCAGTGCCAATAGGTGTTTCATGAAGATTTTAAACATTAAATCACTTGGGTCCCATGGTAAAGACTGGATTGCAGGAGGCACAAGGACCTCTGAAAAGGCAGGAGAGTATTAAAACAACACAGGAAATAAATCTTGTGTTTGTGTTTATAATAAATTAAGGGAGGGAAAAGTTGGCAGCAGGCCTGGAGAAGCTAAGGTATGAAGTGTGTGAATTATTCAGAGCCCTGCAATCCACTGGGAAGGGAGCTGACCTCACACCTCTGCTGGAAATCCCATTATTGTTTGTCCTGCTAGGTGTTGTTGAGAATTGCAGTCCAAAGCGGTAGAGAGTATTTACTTTGGAGATTTTCCAAGGATTTCCCAGAGGTATCACTTCCCAGGTTAAGTATGAGTCCAGGTAATATGGTTTATGTGTGATGGTGGTTTGAATCAGGAGCAAGAAATTAAAGGACCTTACCTGGGAACCTTATGCCACTGCCTCTACCAGTAGTGTTGGGGGGGGTCAGGGGGACAGAGGGGAGAGCAGAAAAGCTGACACCCACCGTGTGGCTTCTGGTTGAAGCAATTCACTAGCCATGGGATGCCGATGCTTTCCTGGGCTACTAGGCCTCATTTTCCTCCCTTTTAAAGCGAGAAATAGAATTCTCAGCCAGAGAATAGAGGAGAAAATCTAGAAAAGTTCCTCGTTATGAACTCACAAGCATTTCAGATTTTGTTTAAAAGAGAAGGAAAAATCCAGTCATTGCTCTGAAGTCAGGAAAAGGTTTGGGTCACTGGTGTTAGCTCAGAGTAGGTTGAACTTTTTTGGTTGTTTCCACTTGTTTCGTAAATTAGGTTTAGGTTTCCCTGGAGTAAGTAAATTGCAGGCTGTACCCTCACACAGACCATAACTTATTTGGGGGTGTGCATGGCTCATCGTCGAGTACCTGGAAAGACCTACGCTCTAGAGTCAGAACCTTGTTCTGGTGCAGGCAGGTACCAGCAAGACGAGGTCTTTACCTCTATGTACCTTGGTTTCCTGCTCACAGTCTAACCAAAGTAACATGGTAGGACAATGTGGAAGGTGCATCCTTGCCGACGACCTCTTGTGGTGCCCACAAAGGGCTCAGGAAGGGTTACCAGCACCATTTCCACAGATGGAGAATGTCTGTCGCTTGCCTTTCCTGCTGGCTCAGTCTAGTCACTCCTGACAGACCAGTTAAGGAATCTGCTTGTTATGCTTCTCAGCGAATCACTGGCAGAATTGGCCCAGTCTCCTCCACCATTCACTTGCTTCAACTTGAAATGTGATTTCCAGGTTGGACATTGGGCTTAAGAAAGGGAAAGGCTAGAGACAAGTCTCAGCCTCCAGGGTGTCCTGCTACTTTGCCCTGGCGGGATACATTTCTGTGGTGTAGCTCACCTCCAGGGCAAAGGGCGCGCTGGCTGTGCAGGTGAGTCATGTGAGTCAGCTGGCCAGGCTGTCAGAGAGCACAGGTGGCTTCTGACCTTCTGGATGATTGCAGCATTTCTCCTCACCCACCCAAGGAAACTCTTCATTTTTACCATATTTAAAATGTCAAGTAAAGACTAGATGTAATTCAGTCATTACACTGATTTAAGCTTAAAGTATCTATTTTTTATTTTTAAATATTGCTATTTCAAAGGAAATGTCTCATAAAATTTAAAAACTCATACATAGTCATTTGCCCTTTTGATCTTGGCTGAGGCAGTAAATGTTTTAAACTTGTAAGTGGGGCTGAAGTCATCTACAGAGAGTTGCTTTTGGGTGGATTAGTCTATATAAAATCTAGAACCTAAAATTCTGTTTTTTTATTATGAGGAAAAGAATCAATTAGTCTATTGTAAGGGATCTATTTTGGTCAAGAAATGGTGATTTAACATGGGGAAGAAATAGATAGTAGTAAAACTACAGAAAAATTGGTTGTAGTGGGAAAAAAAGAAAGCAAGAAAAATAAGAGAAATAGTAATTTCTCTCTCTCGTGTGTGTGTGTGTGTGTGTGTATGTGTGTAAAGAAATATGATTTGGCAGAGATTTTGTTTTCTCAACTCTACAGTCTTAGTTTAAAATCCAGATTTTATTTTGTCACATCTTGAAAAATCTGGTACCTGATGTCCACATTCTAACAAACATCAGCACATTTCTTGGGCAGTTTGCTGCAAACTTGAAAATAAGAAGTAAATAAGTGTTTGAGGTTGAGTAGGCCACAGACAACTGAGACTTTGGATAAAAAGACTAGGTTTTCATGTCCCTCTTATCCTCTGGGTGTTATTCTTTGAGTATTCATTTTTTAAAGATTTATTTATTCATTTATTCATTTATTCATTCATTCATATATGTATAGAAGAGCTAGGGTACAGGCCAGACGTGTGGGGGGTGAGAGAACTCACCAGAGACAGAGCGGGGAACAGAACAGGCAGACTGACTGAAATACACTGCTGAGGGGAGCAGCGGGAGAGATAGGAGAGGTCTGCTGCTCCATGTGGGTTGCTCCCTGGCCAGCTTGAGATGGAACTTGTGCCGCAGAGGTTACGGATTACTTCATAGGTTACATCTTAACCCCTTGCACCACCAGGGAGGCCCTTGAGTATTCCTTTTGATGTCAAGTTTTCTCCTTTTCTTCATTCAATGAAATAGTAAATTAAAATGTGTAATTGACTGCTTCTTAGTCCATCTACATGTCACCTGAAGTAATCACCTTGAGAAATATTTAAATCTATATGATTCTTAATTTAACCACATGGCATTTTTAGCAGGAAAGGAATGCCATAACATTCCATCTGCTCATTTTTAAGATTTGAGCCTGAGAGCTAGAGGTTGAGTGCCCATGCCACAAACCAGGTCTCTGGGTGAGGGGTTGGAGGACATGGGGTTCCCACCTGTACTCTGATACCCACCCACTGTGTTACCTTGGATAAAGTAGCAATGAAACTGAAAAATATTAGACCACCGTGTATGTTTAAAATGTTCTGTTCATTTCTTTTCCCTTATGTGAGAGCTTTTATTAGCTTTTTAATATGAATTTTATTTTTATTTTCAAGTTGATAAATTTTTTTTTTTTAAATCCAAATCTATCTAAAGCCTAGAATGCTCAAGTTGGTCAGGAAAGAAATACTTGTGAATTTCTGAAGCCTAACTCCCACAATATATATTAAACATTGGATGATAATTAGGCATTTATGGGTCCAAAATTAATGGCTCATGGTTGTACATCCCCACTCCATATTTTAAATCTTTAACCTTTAATTTAAAAATCACTTGAGACTCCTTATGTAATAACTTTGATTTGAAACAGATTTCATCCTTCGATTTGAAACAGATTTCATCTCTGATCACTGTCTGCATAATAAATGATTCATATAATTTTCTCTTTTGCAAATAGTAACTTTGGTGAAATATCTATGAAAATGTTTTGGGGACTTTTCCCCCTCAAGCAACTGAGCAACACCTCCCCACAAATCACTTAACTGCCGGCCCCGGTTCCTGAGTATCAGATCCAAACATGCAACCTTACTGCCTGTCTGTAATTATTCCATATATCTAGTTCCATAACTGAGCTATTTTTATAGGACAGAATTTTTGAAATCAAAAGAAACAATTTCTTTTTATGAAGTATTGGATTTATAAAACACATTTAAGACCGTTCTTAAAATAATTTCTAGTAATACTACACTTCAAATGTATCAAATATATCTAGAATTATATTCTATCTTGCATATGTTTAACCCCCAGTTCATAATAGAAATCTAAAGAAAACTTTTATTTTAAAATGTTATCTTTAGCAGCAGTCTTTCTGCCCACCTGAGACTATGCAGGTGCTTCCTTTCACCAACTCTCTCCCTCTGCAGGGCAGCAGCTTCCTGCCTGCCCATGACCTGTACTATGCCGGGGCTTCTGTTCACTGACCTTCCTCAGCGGAGGCTGCTCTCCTCAAGGCCACCTGCCTGCAACCATGCAGGCCTCTCTCAGCAAACCTGTCCGTTTTGGGGCAGCTCTTTCTGCCCGTTTGTGTCTATGCGAGTGTCTTTTACTTTTCTGTCCCTTTCCTAATAAACCTGTTCTTTCAATATAAAAAAAATAATAAAAATGTTAACTTTTATATTGTCAATCTTCATTAATTTTTTCCAAAAATCGTGTAAATCAAGGACACTTAGAATAACTGTGTAAATCAAGGACACTTAGAATAACTTTTGTCATTTTGGTAGGAGAGAACAGCTTTGCTTCCCAGAAGTATTTACGTTAAAATCTTATTCATGCTATCTTCACAGCCGATTATAGCCATGTATCTGCTAGAGGATAACTTGCCCTTTTACAGAGAAAAAGCACATAATCATTTATCCACTTTACTGAAAGTATGGGTTGTTATCTTTCTGAAATATTTTGTAACATGCCATCAGAGTAATAGCTTGAAGGTTTGTTTTGTTTTGTTTACAATAATTAGTCAATTTAAGATATGGAGGAAAACGATGAGAAAAAATAGTGTGGTGTTTTGGAGAGGGTACTCACCTTTGTCACAAATAAGTTGTGGGTGGGGGACCCCAGGCCTCTCCCAGGCTCAGCTCTCACCTCTCCAGTAGCAGTAAAGAATGGAAGGCAAGAGCCAGGGCCACCAGGGAAATACTTTCTGGTTTCCAAAGAAATTGAAATCAGAGTGTACCATCTGGGAAAATTTAATGTTTATTTAAAATTGGTAAGAAGTCATAATGTGACTCTAAGAGAAGGATTTCACCTCCTTTGACTGATTACATAATGAGAACTGTTGATATGGCTGTCACTGTTTCATGCAAAACAAGGAAAATTAAGTGTACAGTGTGTTCAAACTAAACCAAAGGTAGAGCACAAGGGACTTTTTAGATTAAGAAAATGAGTGATTTTAAAACGATTTATTGGCTTGTTTGCTTTCAAGTACTGTCTTGTAAGGAATGGCTTGCTCATTGAAATTACAGAGCTGGTGACACTTAGTTTAAAAAACTGGGTAGAATATAAGGAGAATCTTCCCACAAATATATCCTTGAAGCATTTTGTTTTCTGGATTTCTGTGCTACTGATCCTTAATCTTGTATGGACAAAGCTGTGATGGGCTTATCTCCCCACATTGATTTCCAGCGCCAGTACTATGTTAACATTAGGATTTGTTGTTGTTAAACATCTTTACATCTTCAGCCTGTGAGCATTTAGATATGGGATAATGTTTCATGGTGTACTCTGGGATCATGTTATAATTAAAGACTTAGCATATAGCATCAGTCATTCCCCTAGTGCCTATTAGGTGGGCCTGTTTATTTTTGCAAGTTATGGACTTTGTGGCATGTCATTTGTGTATGAAACTATGATTCTGTTTAACTTCCTTTTTGTTCTCTCAGATTTCCAGGCCCTCCACCTGTCAACAGCGCGGCCCCATCCTATGCACCCTACCCACCCTCTACCCAGTCATCTTATCCGAGTCCTGCGTCTACTTCATCCGTCAGTCAGCTGGGCAGTCAGCTCAATGCTATGCAGATCAACAGCTACGGTACTGGCTCCAGTCTTAATGTTCACTGGCTACTTTGTGTTAGGAGTATTTTAATGAGAAAGTATTTTCTTCATTTTCAAAATGGACATAACTCTGACACACCAGAGTACTACTGTGGGAATCCCCACTGTAATAGCAGCATAACCAGCCATTGATCTTCAAGAAGAATGTTTCCATTCCTTAAAGTTAGCTTTTTAGAAGTCAGTGAAAAAAACCCTCAGAATGCTTCCCATCTTTTACTGATTTTAAAATGGTAAAAGCAAAGCAACTCAATTTCACATAGAGAAAGGGGAAAAAAATCTGATTTTTGCATCCCCCTTGTGTTACTTGCTTCTACTTCCAGTAACTGTTTGGTCAAGTCAAGGAGAGGATGTGAATAACTTTTTGAACCTATACATTACCTGAATGATGCTTGTTATATAATAACATTTTCTTCTATGTGATTCTCTACAGTTTTTATCAGATACAATCCTTGAATTAGTAGCATGCATCATGCAAAGTTGATGCAACAGAGTTAAAATTTATCCCACTACTTTTCTTTTTTCTTTTTTCTTTTTTTTTAAAAAGATTTATTTATTTATTTATTTTATACAAGAACCGGGGTACAGGCCAGATGCGCGGGAGGGTGAGAGGATTCACCAGAGACAGAGCGGGGAACAGAACAGGCAGACTGACTGAAATACACTGCTGAGGGGAGCAGCGGGCGAGACAGGAGAGGTCTGTCTCACCATGTGGGACACGAGCCGGCTGGCTGGGATCGAGCCGGTGCTGCAGAGGCTGCGAACGGCTTCACAGAGCGGTGCTTAACCACCTGCGCCACCAGGGGAGGCCCTTCCACTACTTTTCTTACTAAAATTATAAATGTTATTTTTACCCCTTTTAAATTCTCCAGTTGTATAAAATGCCCCAAATAGTGTTGCTCTCGCTTTCTGATTGAGGGTTTCATTTGCAAGGGCACCTTCTTGCTTTACATCAGCAAGACACGTGCTGGGCTGAGTACTTTGGAGAAGCTGGAGAGTAGAGAACCATGTGGTGCTCATGTGGTCTGGTCTTTCACAGGTTCAGGCATGGCCCCATCCACCCAGGGTCCCCCTGGCCCTCTGCCAGGGGCATCATTCCAGGGTCCCCCACGACCTCCACAGCCTTCCATTTTGCAGCCCGGATCTCAGGTTCTCCCACCACCGCCCACTGCACTAAATGGCTCTGGAGCCCCACCCTTGCCTCCATCAGCGCTCCCTGGGCCTCCACCTCCCAATGCTCAGTACCAGCCTCCACCTCTTCCAGGACAGACCGTGGGCTCTGGATATCCTCCACCTCCGCAGCAAGGTAAGGCTGGCTGGGCTGAGAGAAGGTCTTGGGTTACCTAGGGGTACCTTTCATTGAAAATCAACTTTCTGTCTATATTGTTAGGTTTCTGTCACTCGCTCTTAAAGAATAGTAGTTTTTGAATGGCCAGCACAAAGAAAAGGCAAATCCTAGATATTCCTTCTTTAATAAGATGAAATATGCAACATGCTTGCCTGAACAGATTGTTGCCAGTCAGCCTGACATCTGGGATGCTGGATTATAGTCATTTCTTTTTTTTTCTAAAGATTATTTATTTATACAAGCACTGGGTACAGTCAGAAGTGCGGGAGGGTGAGAGAGTTCACCAGAGCCAGAGCGGGGAACAGAACAGGCAGATGGACTGAAATACACTGCTGAGGGGAGCAGCAGGTGCGGCAGGAGAGGTCTGTCGCGCCATGTGGTACCCTCGCCAGGTAGCCGGGGATCGAACTGGCGCTGCAGAGGCTGCGGGCAGCTTCGCAGCCCAGCGCTCAACTGCTGCGCCACCAGAGGAGGCCCTATAGTCATTTCTTTAAACATTTCTTTCTAAGGAGGCACCTTCGGCCCCCAGATGGCTGGTGCACAGCTCTCCTACCCAGGAGGCTTCCCCGGAGGGCCTGCACAGATGGCTGGCCCACCACAGCCCCCAAAGAAGCTGGACCCTGACTCCATCCCCAGCCCGGTGAGTGCCTTTTCTCTCCTGAGGCCCTTCTCACAAAGGGTCCTCCTTCTCTCATTGTCCTCAGAAATGCTTGTTAACATTTATCTTGTCCTTTGTCATCATACCATAATGCCCATCCTAGGGGAAGGCTTCCTTCTCTCTATGAATGTATGGGGTCTACAGGGTGAGTTACAGCCTACTTTAGGGGTGTCTGTAAGGGAAACCTCCTGTGTGTCTTTGGTGTCCATATAAAGGTGGCAGCATCTATTGATGATGATATTGGCATGTGTTGACGGTATTGATTGAGGCCTAATGAGTGATCAGTAGGAAGAGTCTGTCCTATATGAAGTATGCCATTTTCTATAAAGCAGGTCCTTTTTCAACAAGAGAAAGTACCCAGAGAGTGAAGGGCAAAGTATTTTACATTTGTGTATTAAAAGAACAATTGTTCTGTATCACATTAGAACTGTAACTGTACTTCTTAACCCGTGAGAGTGATTTTCGTTGGAGGATTGTTGCTCTTTAGCACCAGTATCTGTCAGCTCTTACTAGGCTATTCTGCTTAACAAATGATCCCCACCTCTGCTTACCACTGCAGAAGTTTGTTTATTGCTTTGGTGACACGTCAGCAGTAGCTGTGCTTTAAGGCCTGCTCCAGGAGCCCTTATTGTAGACTCCAAGGTGAAGGGGCACCCCCACAAGGGACATGCTATCTCATCAACAAGGGATAAAGGGGAGAGAACAGGCCAATAGGTGCAGTAGCTCTGAAAGCTTCCATGCAGATGTGGCACATGAGCCAGCCACTCATGTGCCCTTGACCAAGGCAAGTCAGGTGGCAAAGCTGTGTTTCAGTGGGCAGGGGAGCATGTTCCTCCCTCAGGAGAAGCCGTGATGCTACAGGGCAGGCATGTAAGGTTCTTTGGGATAATGAAATTGATGCAGTTAACTTTTGTCTCTGAAGGTAGTTCTATAAACAGAAGTAAGAAAGGTAGACTAAAGACCACAAAGAGCTCCTGCATGAGCTAGCTCTCACTGTGTAACAAACCACAGGACAGACCATCCATATCAGCTGGCAGCATCTGAAAGATTCATGTTCTCAGGCTCCATCCCGGGCCTACTAGATCAGACCCTCCAGGAGAGCGACCTGGAGTCTGTGTTTTAACAAGCTGCTGCATGATTCTTAGGCATACTAGAGTTTGGGAAGCCCCCCACTAGGTACTCCCATCCATTGCCATGACTTTAAATGAGTTTCCCACTTTCCTAGTCAAGGACTTTTCTGGAAATCCAGATTCCAACCCCATTCTTAGAGTTCCTCAGCCATCCCTGATTGTCTCTCATACATCTCACATTTAGTTCTTTAGCTAATTCTATTGGCCCTGCCCTTTCTGCTCATCCTGTCAAAGCCTCTACCATTCATCCATCTGGATGATTACCATAGACTCTTCTCTGGTCAGCCTGGTCTTCCTGTCTGCAGACAACAGCCAGTGTCATCCCTTCCAGCGCTAAGTCCCACCCTGTTGTGGCTTAGAACAAAACCCTCAGTGTGCCTCTAGATAAAACCAAAGTTCTTATAGTCACCAGTAAGATCCTACATTATTTGCCACGCTTGATTCCCCACTCTGCTGGGGGCGTGTGTGCACACATACAAAAACAGACACACACGACACCCCCCCCACACACACACACGCCCCCTTACTCCCCTTCTCTCTAAGCTGGTTTCTTACCTCTCTTTTCCATTGCTTTGCGTCAGCTACACCAGCTTCCTATTATTCCTTAAACACACCAAGCACACTCTTGCCTCAAGGTGTCTGCACTTGACCCTAAATTCTCTTCCTTTATATCTGGGTAGCGATGGCCCATTTCTCATTTTCCGCATGTCCTCCTTGTTCTTTCCAATCTCTCTGGCTCCCCTGTTCATATCACTCCATACCCACAGCACTTATTTATATGTTTGTTTATTTATTGCCTGTCTTCCACCCTAGAGTGTCAGCTCCCGGAGGTCAGGGATTTGGATTTTTCCCTGCTACGTCTCCAACAGTTAGAACAGACCTAGTCCATAATATGTGTTCATGGTATTTCTTGAATGAATGAATGAATGTTAACAGCAAAAGCAATAGGCTACATGTACTGGGATTCACTCAAGATCCTTAAAATATATACATTGCAGATCAGTATTATTTTTATCTTAAAAGTAATGAAATAGCAATGCCAGATGGTGCCTGTTTATGTTCTATTACCAAAGTAATATGCTTTTACTAACTAAATAGATTCTTCCTTCTGGAAAGAAAGATGTAAAATCTCATTTACTGAACTCCTGCTACATGTCAGGCCTGCGCCAAGTGCTCTCAGCTACTCCTTTGGGTGTTGGTTTTATCCCTGTTTTGAAAGTGAAGAAACTAATATCATCCTTGAAATTCTTCCTCACTCTCTTTCTGTGTCTGCAGGAGGTTTACTAAGAAGTTGATCTCTGCTCTTCCCTTCTTGCTCATACCACTCCAAAGTTCAAATAATTCTGCTTTAGGCAGCCTGCCTCAGACATGCACAAATGCCTTATCTTTCTTGTTCTTGCATCTCAAGAGAATCAATCTTTTTCTCCTCCTCTTTCCTTTTCATTTTATAATCCCAGAATATTCTTTTCATAGCATAAAGAGTGTGGAAGTATTTCAAGTGGCACATCTTGTGAAGGAAAAAGAAATCTGTATGTTCACAGGTAGCTTTGGCACCATCAGGAATCACTGTCATCAAATCAAAGCACTTTAACAATTGATCACAGTGAAAAACTACTGACTTTCTGCTTATTGTTTTTTTTTTTTTTTCCTGAGCCTGCTTTTAAGAACAATCACTGGGGTTAAATAAAAAATTACCATAATATGTTTTTTTAAAATAACTAGAACCGTGGGACTATTTCCTACTATCTTTGTAGTATTCCAGGCAAGATGTGGATGAATTAAAAAATGTAGTCATCACATAGGGCATTGATTCTTTGGAGGCAGTGCTTTGTATATTGAAAACTGGTAGTTTATCTACCTGTTAATTTAATTTTATTTTGCAAAAGAACTGGGGTACAGGCCACAGTTACAGGGGTGAGAAGATTCCTTAAAGACAGAGTGGGGAGCAAAACAGTTGGGTTTACTGAAGTACATTGCTGAGGAGAGCAGCAGACAAGACAGGGAGATCTGCTGCACCATATGTGGGTCAGCTCCCTGGCCAGGGATCGAACTCAGGCCTTCTTTGTGATGGCACTGACACTTAACCTCTAGGTCCCCAAGGAGGCCTGCAAACTGGTAATTTAGAAGTAAATTTTTTTGAAATATGATCTATTGAAAGACTGAAAACTATCTATGTTCAGTATATTAATTATCATTACTTTTTTTTTTTATTTAAAAATTTTTAAATATAGGATTATCATTACTTCTACCTCACTTTCTTCTTTGACACGTCAGTGGTTGAAATGATTATAACAATTATTTATTTATTTTTTAAAGATTTGTTTATATAAGAACTGGGGTACAGGCCAGATGCACGGGAGGGTGAGAGGATTCACCAGAGACAAAGACAGAGCGGGGAACAGAACAGGCAGACTGACAAAATACACTGCTGAGGGGAGCAGCGGGCGAGACAGGAGAGGTCTACTGCGCCATGTGTGACCCTTGCTGGCCGGCCGGGATGGAACCGGTGCTGCAGAGGCTGCGGACAGCTTCACAGCGCTGCGCTCAACCACCTGCGCCACCAGGGGAGGCCCATAACAATTATTGATAAATATAAAACAATACTAATTTTGAATGACCCAGATTACTTTTGTGGTTGAAATACAGAATATAATAATGGTTTTTGATGTCTCTTCACATCTAACCTCATCTGTGCCAAACAGTAGTTATGTTTGGAGTATAGAGAATGTATGACCTTGTGTGTGTGTGTGTGCAGAGAGAGAGAGAGAGAGAGAGAGAGAGAGAGAGAACAATAAGTGTATAGAATATATAAGTCCTCAGTAATAATTCAAGTCCTGTGAAATTAGAAGGACAGAAAAGTATAGATTTCAAGAGAGACTAAATCTATCTGATGTTCCATAAAACCATCGATATCACTACCAGTTGGTGCCTGGATTGGGTAAGATGGGAGGAGAAAATGGTGAAGATAACTTTTCAGAATTTGGGGGAATACAGTTCCATATTATTAATAATTTCTTTAGGAATATAAAAACCTGCATGTCCTTCAAAGCTACCTGTTCCAGTCTGTGCACTTACCTATTTTTTCCCCCTCCCCCCTGCCTTTTTTTTTAATTCCCTTTTTTTTTTAACTACCTTGTCTCGTGTCTCTTTTGAGGGAATGGTGAAGATAAACAGAAAGATCATTATTAGAACTCTTTCTTAACTCATTTTTGTCATCCCTAGACAAATTACAGCAGTAAAACAATTTTGTATATCCGTATGCTTCATAATTTCATGTATCAGTTTTCTATGTTTATATTCTTCATCATTTCATGTAGAGAAATATAACATGTTCCAAATTAGTCAACAAAACCTGTGGATTTTTATTCCTTCTGTTATCTACACAATGACAAAACCAACGTGGGAATACATAATATTGTTGGTCTCATGTCTCAGAGAGGATGGGTGTGGTGGGGGTGAGAGACTTGAAATGCAAACTGAAGATCAAGAGGGATTTGAAGAAAAAAGTTAGCTTATTATTGCACATTTTTTAAAATTTAGTCATTTTTAGCCCTTTAGAGTTTTATTACAGGAAAATGTTTTCTTTCAAAAAGTTATTTTCAATTTCTTTTTCTACCAGAATCTTTTTTTTTAAGATTTATTTATTTATACAAGAACTGGGGTACAGTCAGAGGCACAGGAGGGTGAGAGAATTCACCAGAGACAGAGCTGGGAGCAGAACAGGCAGACTGACAAATACACTGCTGAGGGGAGCAGTGGGAGAGACAGGAGAGGTCTGCCACACCATGTGGGATTATCCCCGGCCTGCAGGGATCGAACCCGTGCTGCAGAGGCTGTGTACAGCTTCATAGCATGGTGCTCAACCCGCTGTGCCACCAGGGAGGCTGTCTATCAGAATCTTTTAAAAACACTTATCTCTGGTTCCAGTAAACAAAGTGAGTAAAAAGCTCTCTAAAGGATTAACGTCAGAGCTCAGAGTGTTACAGAATAGAACTGGGAAGCCAGTGGTCTCAGTAGTGACACGTACTTTATTGAGAAAGTAGACAGAAGTGCAGCTAAAGACATGGTAGACTCTCAATGAGACCTTGATCTGAAATGAACTGAAAGGATATAGGAAATGTCTTGTTTTTGTATTGTGAAACATGAGCAGGAGGGAGACAATTTTGGGTAAAGTCTTAGCTTAACTTGCTCTGGTATCTTGTTTAACTTGCTCCGGTATCTTATCAGATCCAGGTGATCGAGAGTGACAGAGCTGCCAGAGGAGGGCAAGTTTATGCCACCAACATCAGAGGCCAGGTCCCGCCCCTGGTCACCACAGACTGTGTGATACAAGACCAAGGTAACCCTCCAGCTATAGTTTTAGTTGAGATTGTGAAATTTCTTGCCATTTAAAAAAACAAACAGCACTGTTACCACTAATGGGTAACTCCTTAGGAGTTGATGAGCGAGACTGACTTGCTGTAATCACTCAACACAAAGAAGTTCTGCCAACCAATTCTGCTTGCTGCTTTAGAAGTCTAGCTAGTATCTGGTAAGATAGTGTGAATTCTCAGTTTAAGAAAATGATTTCCACTTGTGCTTTTAAATTAGTTCATGCCCTGCTTTGGTTTAATTTATTTACCCTGGAAGGTCAGCACAAGCAGAGCAGTTGAGGCTGGACACTGGCAAAGTCAGTAGGCCTGGGTCTTGCCCCTGTTGCATTTTTTCAGCAATTTTGGGTTCTGTTTCACTACTTTTCTACTGGGACAAGAAAAGACTGGGCTCTGCCTCTACTGACTGTCCTGTCTGTGCTGTCAGTTTAATAGTTTTGTTCCCCCATATGGGTTTGATCTTTCCAAGAAAATGTTATTCTGTTGTTCATGGCAAGTTAAAATACAGCCTGATGGAATTTGAAGTGTCAGATTCTGAATTTGCCATTTTAATGGATCCTGTACTCATTCCTAGAAGCAAAATGTGGGGGTGCAAACATGCATTTTTGTCTCTTTGAGTGGTCAAGCCTGCCAGGTGGAGCGGGGACCTCTCTCTGTGCTGCACAGTCCTTACAGAGCTGGAGGCACACTGTGGCAGAAGGTGCGCTGATGGGGAACTTTGCACCCCTGCATGTGAATCCAGGCTCCCTCCTCACTGCCAGCATGAGCTTGCTCATCTCAACTCTCTGAACCCTGGTATTCTTGCCTTGTGTAAAGTATGAACACTATGAAGATGATGATTTTTTTTTTTAAGATTTATTTATTTACTTGTACAAGAACCGGGTATAGGCCAGATACGCAGGAGGGTGAGAGGATTCACCAGAGACAGAGCGGGGAACAGAACAGGCAGACTGACAAAATACACTGCTGAGGGGAGTAGCGGGTGAGGCAGGAGAGGTCTGCCACGCCATATGGGTATCTCCCCGGCTGGCTGGGATCAACCGGTGCTGTGGAGACTGGGCACAGCTTCACAGCTCGGTGCTCAACTGCCTGCACCACCAGGGGAGGCCCATGAAGTTGATGATTTTTATTCATCATTGTTGACTACAAAAACAGCAATCTCATTTCAATCTAATAGTGTTATATAAGTGTTTTCTCAATTTCTATTTTTTTTCAGTGTTTTGAATCAATAAAAACATTTTTGAGGCTTTTTATAACCTAAAGAATACTCCCAACCAGCCTTATCTTCTGTTCATTTCCTTCTTTACGTCTGCCTCAGCTGTACCAAAACTCATCCCCTTTCCCCTCATGTCTCCGGTTCTCGCTTTGTGCAATTTTCTCTGCAACAAATTAGGTACTTTTGTTAAGGTATTTTATGCTTTTGGTAGCTCAGACTGAACACCTTGGAGTCCTGCCTGACTACTCTCCCTGTTTCTCACATCTCCCATCTTCACACCTTAGGTGTCATACATGTCAACAGTGAACCACGCACCTTCAGAGGATGCCCAGGCCTTGGGCACTTGTCACACATATTGCTGTCAGCTGGAGTCTACCACTGCCGGCTCACCTGGCACAGGCTCCAAGCTGGTCTCTCTGATTCTTCCCTCCCCATCACAGTCCATGCTCTAACCAAGGCAGAGGGAAATCAAGTCAGATCATGACACTGTTCTTCTTAAAACGTGGCCCCACCTCTCTGTTTCCCTCCAGAAAAGCCAGAGGGTTTAAAAGTATCTCAAGTGTTGACTTGATGTGACCCCTGTTGCTACTCTGAGCCCCTCGCCAGCTGCTGTGTCTCCCACCTGCTCCAGTCCAGCCACACAGGCCCCCTCACTTCCCCTGGCAGACCAGGCACACCCCACTCCTCTCCCTCCAGGGCAAATCCCTCCTCCTTGGAGTCTTTCTTAAGTGTTAACTTTTTTAAGACGTGGCCTGTAACAATTTAAAATCACAATCTCTTCCACTAAGACACCTTTAACCAGGTAGCATTTTTTTGTAGCATTTATCACCTTTAATAGCCTGTATAATTTACTCATTTATTCAGCTTAATATTTATTGTCCATGTCCTCTGCAAGAACTTAAACTCCAGAAGGAAACACCTAGGGCAGTGTGTAAAACTTAGTAGACATTCAATAAATACTTGATGAGTATGTCCTTTTGATTTGGGGATGTACTGTAATTTTATTTCAGAAATTTATATGAGTCATTCTAATGATTCAAAGATATTCTTCAGGCCATGGTTAATACTCATATGGCTGTGAAATAAAGGTATTTGAGGAGAATATTCATATATGGCTGTGAAATAAAGGTATTTGAGGAGAATACTCATATATGGCTGTAATACTCATATACAGCTGTGAAATAAAGGTATTTGAGGAGAACAAATGTGTATGAAAACAGATGAAGGTGTTTTTAAAAAGTAATATTTCTCTTGCAAGTAGAATTTCATCTCTAAATTCAGCTTCTAGATTTATAGAAAAGCCCAGTCAAATGGAATCATATTTGACAAGTATCACTTGCTGACTTGAAGTGGTGCACAAATGCTCACCCTCCCAGCAACAGATGTGTTGATAGAAAAGGATGAAGAAAGCTCTTGATCCTTTCTTGTTTCTGTATCTTTGCTTTATTTCTTCCACTGACTCTGAACATCTCCCAAGTCTGTCACTTGGCCATATTAGTATCCTGATTACAGAGAATAAGAATAATTAAAGCACCTCTTTTATTTATTTACTTTTTTGCAGTACAACTCAGAGTGCTTTATTTTCCAAAATATTATTGTGTACCCAGAATATAAATTGTAGAATTGCATGAGACTGCCTTTTTATAAGAAATTATATAGTCTTACAAATCAGTCTTACAAATATGTTGTCACAAACACCATGATACATAATTAAATATAACAGGGCAGACACTTTCCCAAGCTTGTCTGAAGTGTGTTATTTGATGTTCCAGGCAATGCCAGCCCCCGGTACATCCGCTGCACGACCTACTGCTTCCCATGCACATCGGACATGGCCAAGCAGGCTCAGCTCCCACTAGCTGCTGTCATCAAACCCTTTGCCTCAATTCCATCAAATGAGGTAAGAGTAGTAAAAGAAATAGCAGTCTAGTGGTTCCCAAATTCTTCTTTTATCTTTATTTTCTCTCACATTATTATGTGTTATAAATAGAAAATAGTCTGTTTCTATACTGCAGAAACATCTCGTCATTCATGTCATTAGGAAAACAAAGATGTGACAAGCTGTGTTTTCTGGCATCCTAAACACCAAGCATTGACAATCTGGGTCTCTTTGGGAACTGTTGTAGCAAAGCACACAAACAGAAAATGTGGAGTGATGCATGGTGATAAAGACCGAGGCCTCTTGGGAGGCCCTTCCGTCCTAGTTCAGGGCCCAGGAAAATAGAGCCTAAAGCTCCTTGATCTGACTGTGTCCACCTTAATAATCACAGGACCAAGATGCTCATAAATCTTAGTTAAGAGCATCATAATTAGAAAGCACAAGGTAAAGAAATCTGTGTGTGTTGATTAGGTAAGATGTACTCTATACATAAACAGTTAAGAAGTGGTGAATATTGACCCATTCTGACCTTAGGATACTGTTAGTTGGTGAGGTAATCAGATGTCCCCCTGCACTGACCCTGTTCCTCCACCTGCTGCCCCTGAGTGGCGGACACCCACTGCACTCAGGGGTGACACTGGGTGCTGTGGCAGAGCTGGTGAAAGGGAAGGAGAAAAAGAGTTTTGTGTCTGGCTGGAGCTTTGACCTTAACCCTGTTGCAGTGGTCCAGTGGGCTTGGCCGAACTCTGGTTGCATTTTTTGCACTAAAAGCTGAAACCTCAGATTCTCTTTCTCAGCCCAGCTCCCATGATCCTTTGAGGTCAGCTGGTGTTATGCACGCCTAGCACCATCTGAGCAAGAGGCAGAACATCTGCAAGAGAGAGCAGAGCTGGCCCCTTTCCTGGGTTGGCCATGCCAGCTGGTATGGGGGTCAAGTGGTATGCTGGAGGGAAGAGAACAGAGCCGGTGTCCACATAGACATGGCTTCCACCTACACATAAGTCTTCTTTTAGGGCTAGAGTGACCTGGAGTAGAGGAGGGCATTGAATGGGGTGTTCCTAAAAGCCAGTGTTATGCTTTGTGGACCCATTGTTTTTTTTTTTTTTTTTTAAGATTTATTTATTTATGCATACAAAAACTGGGGTACAGGCCAGAGGTGCAGGGGTTGAGAGGATCCACCAGAGACAGAGCAGGGAGCAGAACAGCAGACTGACTGAAATATACTGCTGAGGGGAGGAGCAGGCAAGACAGGAGAGGTCTGCTGTGCTATCTGGGAAGCTCCCTGGCCGGTCCGGGATTGAATTCAGTGCTGCAGAGGCTGCAGATAGCTTCACAGGGCTGTGCTTTAACCCCTTGCGCCACCAGGGAGGCCCTTAGTGGACCCATTTGTAACTCAAGAAGTACTGTTAGTCTGTTCTTACTGTATGCATGATCTCTTACATGATGGTCCTTGAAATTTAATGATCATAAATAACTCTTTAAAATTTCTATGCTCCATAAAAGCAAAATAGACCAATATGGATTGACAAAACTATTCATGCCATCTGTGATATGTATGTATGTTTTAAATAACATAGAAGCATTTTAGTTTTTTAAAATGTTTTATTCAGAACTTTTTTAAACATACAGTAAATTTGAATGAATTTTACAGTGAATACTTGTATACCTGCAACCCAGATTCTCCCATTAACATTTAACTGTCCTTAATTTATCACAGTTCAATCCATCTGTCATCAATCCGTCTTTTTTATTTCAAAGTAAATTTCAGTCATTGGTATACTCTCCCTAAATACTCCATCATGCATATCACTAATCAGAGTCCAATATTTGCTTGCAGATTATTTTTCTTGAGGTAACAGTCATTAACAGTAAAATGTGCGCGTCATGGGTTTTGACACCTGCATAGACCTGTGTAACTCAAACCCCTATCATAGTGTAGGATGTTACTGTCCCCTCATGCCCCTGCCCAGTCAACTTCCCACCCCTTCTCACAACCCCTTCTCTGCCAACCTTTTTTCAGATTTTTTTTTCATCCTGTTTTGCCTGTTTTAGGTCTTCCTATGGACTTACAGAACACGTGTTCACTCTTTTGTGTGAGTTTCTGTTAGCATCATGTTTTAGAGAACCATTATGCTGTTATTTAAATTTTTTATCACTGCAGAGTATCTCATTGTTTGTATCTTCCAGTTTGATTATATCATCTTTTATTGATGGCTCTTGGGCAATTTCTAGTTTGGGGCATCATGAACAAAGCTTCTTATAAGTATTCTTGTTTTTTTCTTTTAGATTTATTTATTTATGCAAACAAGAACTGGGGTACAAACCAGAGGTGCAGGGGTTGAGAGGATTCACCAGAGACAGAGTGGGGAGGAGAACAGGCAGTTTGACTGAAATACACTGCTGAGGGGAATAGCACAAGACAGGAGAGGTCTGCTGCTCCATGTGGGTAGCTCCCTGGCTGATTGGGGATCGAACTTATGCTTCAGAGGCTGTGGACAGCTTCAGAGCGCTGTGCTTAACCCCTGGCGCCACCAGGGAGGCCCCTGTTCATTTTTTTATCCCTCACATTAACCTACTTATTATCCCCTTCTAGATATAAGTAAATTGAGGCACAGATTTAGAGAGTGTGTTCTGGTCAGTTGCTACTGAGTAGCAGGATTGGAGTCTAGTCCAAGAGGTATGGCATCTGAGCCCTCCACTGTTACCCACATTCTTTCATTCATTCATTCATTCATTTCTGTATGCCTAGCCCATTTTCACATATCTGAATGCCCTTCTGAAGTCTATTCTTGGGGGCTCATAGAAACCTCAAATTTAACATGTAAGCAAATGTCTGGTCTCTACACTCGAAACCATTCATTCTCTCATAAATCCATAAATGACACGGACATTTATTTATCCAAACCTGAACCAAAATTAAACAATTATAGTTAATAGAAAATGAGGGACAACACTGATATTGATACTTAAACCTATAGTTAGATCAGTGGATTATTACATGTATAAAACAACTCTGTATATGAATAGCATCTTCATTTCTTTTCCTCTATAATAAATGGCATGCATATTTTTAGGTTTAGTAAAATTTTAGGGTTTTCTTCCTTATATGACTAATATTGCCGTCATTACTGCAATTAAAAAAAAAAGGTATGCTTAAAAATATCCTGATTTGGCATGTACCAAAAGGAATTAGTTAGTACAGTTTTTAAAAGCCAGTTCTATTGTTTGACAGAACTTTTTAAAGCTTGCCATTGTGTTAGCAACGACCTATAAAAATAAACCTAAGCTAAGCAGTTATGATTGGAGAATGTTCCCCGTGAGCATTTGCTTAGAGATATATGTTACTTCCAAGGGCATATCTGTGTTGTTCTTGCTTAATATTTCATGTTCTTACCATAAATTTTGAATTTTTATTTTTCTAAATGAAACCCACTGTCACCTTCACTATAACTGTTAGGTATTTACTCATCAAAAGTAATTGATAATTTAGTTAGCTCTTTTGTTAACTAATCTGTGATTTTATTTTTGAAGCTGTATTTGAAAAACTGAGGTGGAAATGGTAGAGGTTTGCACTACAGGATTGTGATTAATTTAATTTTGCATTTTCCTTAAAATAGGATATCTTTATATTTCAAACAAGTATACACATCTAATTATGCATAAAATTAAATAATTTCACCTATAAACCAGATGGCAGAAGCTTTTACTCCATCTGTGGCTAGATCCAGGAATATCTGTGTGGTTTTTAAGACTATAAATGGATATAATAGTCAAAGTAATTTCTTTCCTTATTGAATTAACTCAGTGCAGATAAACTTTTATCTAAGCCATTAAACTTTGCTTGATTTATAATCCTCTGTTTCCTCTGTGCTAGAACTGGGTTGGATTCTAGGGATAATAGAAAGGCAATCCTTATTGCTCTTGTCTAGGACTTGGAGAACAGGTAGGAATACAAAGCTAATTTTTGTACAGTGTGAAAAAGACTCTGATGGAGTATAACCTCCTCCTCTGGAGTTGAGGTTCAGGAAGTTTTACCTTAGTTATGACTTTGTGAACAAAGAGGTTTGTCCTATTATCTGTAGTATTTAAATTCCTTTTTCTTAGTGATTGTTCATATTCTCATTGATTCAGTAGATAAAAAAGAAGCCATTGGAAAGAAAAGGGAACAGATGTCAAAGAATTGACATCCAAAAAAGGAAACGACTGTCAGAGAATAAACCCAGTGCCAGCATATTACATCAGGAGTGGACTTTGTATCCCTCACCTACAGAAGGGATTGTTTTGCTCTGCATTTGACTTTTGATTTTAGCCAATCTTGCCGTCACGAGTTGACATAGGTTTGGCAGAGTTTACACTGCTGCTTAATGCATCAAAGGGGAATGCTGCCTCACTGTAGGATCTTGTCTGTATGCCAAGCTTTTTTCAGGAATCTAGCAGCTTTCAAAGGGGTGTTATCCTGATTCGTTAGATGTAGAAGCTCAACAGGTATTGGGACTTTTAAAGTCATACAGCTAAAACGTAATGCTATTGGAGCTTGAGATTCCAAACTCCAAGTTCTTTCAACTACATCTGGCTGTAAATGAGCTTATAAAGTTTTACTTGGTTAAGCATAGAAATGGCATCCCTTCCTCTGCTGATTGTAGTTTAATACTAGGCGTCTTGCTTCTGCCAGCTTGTGAATTATCTTCATATGTCATTCTTAGACCTCTTTTCCTGAAATCTTCAGGCTTAAGCTGGGCTTAGTACTCACTGAAGGCAAAGACATGCAGAATCCAGCAGCAGGCTGGACTTACAAGACAGGTCCTGATTGAATGAGTATACCCAGCTCACAATGAATCGACATTTCAAAGACAAAGTTAAACCAAACTACAGAATGGTGGTTGATTTCTAGGTATCTTGGCATTCTCTGCTAATATTTTTAGCATAGCACATCTTAATTATGAAGCTCCTTGGCAGTAGTTTGAGTCTGTTGATAAATACGTTGCTAATGAAGCAAAAATTTTCATCCTGCTTTGGCCAAT